GGGAGGAGGGGGAGGAGGGGGAAGAGGAGGAGGAGGAAGAGGCATTTTCTATAAGCTTCAGGACTGCTGGCTTCACCTGTGGCCCCCCATCTACTGATGACGAAAACAAATTTGTACCAAGTAGTTGATTGTAAATAAAACAAGACGGGGACAAAAAAGAGCAAAGCTTACTGTGTCAAAAACTTTCAAAACTTGAAATGATTGTGCTGGGAAGGCATGAGTGAGGGTGCTTCTCAAGGGAAGGCTGAACAAACCAGGCCCAGAAAGCAAGTCCTGAGCAGTGCAGGGGCCCTGCAGCGGGACTGTACTGTGGAACTGCAGAGCTGTGAGGTACTCCCCAATGGCGGCCATCTGCACATGCGCATTACAGTCCGATTTCGTCGAGGAGAGGCCCTTGGCCATGAGCCCCATTCCCACAGCCAAGGAGAACAAGGAGATAAGACCTGCAGTTTCAGAGGTCTCTGCCCAGGTTTGCCTTCTATGAAATCCTTCTGCTTGCACAAAGCATCGGCATTTTAAATTTGACTCATGCACATATAGGCACCCAATCCTTAAAGTGTTGTTATCAGTGCTTAGTACCTAGCCAGGAACATCTTTTTTTTTTTTTTCTTACTCTTTTAACAACAAACACTCATGAGTGCTCACCACAAACCAAGCCCTCTCCTAGGGGCTACACATACAATCTATCTCACAGCAACTCTACTTGATTGGCAGCATTCCAATTCCGACTTTACAGTTAAGGAATCTGAGGCCAAAGCATATATATTAAGCAGAAAAGCTAAACTCTGCATCAAAGATAGTGTCAAGTCCAAACCCAATTACCTATTAGTTTTTATAAATTTATGTAACTTTTAAAATTATGATGCTCTGTCTGCATGCACACTTGCATGTCAGAAGGGAGCACCGGATCCCTTTATAGATAGTCACGAGCTACCATGTGGTTGCTGGGAATTGAACTCAGGACCTCTGGAAAAACAGCCAGTATTTTTAATTGCTGAGCCATTTCACTAGCATCTATTTATTAGCTTCTTCTTTTTTAATTAATTAATTAATTTACATTCTGATCTCAGTTTGCCCTTCCTCCTATCCTCCCCATCCTTCCCGCTCACCCCCCAACTCCACTCCTCCCCTTCTTTCTCCTCAGAAACGAGCAGGCCTCCCATGGATATGAATGCAGTGTCTTGGCATATCAGGTTGCAGTAGAACTAGGAACACCTTCTATTGTGGCCAGACAAGGCAACCCAGTTAGGAGAAAGGGACCAAAAGCAGGCAACAGTGTCAGAGACAGCCCCTGTTCCTGCTGTCAGGAGTTCTACTTGCAGACTGAGCTACACAACTATTCCATATGTGCAGAGGGCCTAGGTCAGTCCCATGCATGCTCTCTATTTGGCAGTTCAGTCTCTGTGGGCCCCTGTGGGCACAGATAGCTGATTCATTATGTTCTCTTGTGGTGCCCTTGACCCCCCTGGCTCCTTTAATCTTCCTCCCTCTCTTCCACAGGATTCCCCAAGCTCCATCTAATGTTTGGCTGTGGGTCTCTGCATTTGTTTCTATCAGTTGCTGGGTGAAAACTTTCTGGTGACAGCTATGCTAGGCTTCTGTCTGCAAGTACAGCAGAGTATCACTGATTGTGTCACAGTATGTTCTCTCTCATGGCATGAGTCTTAAGCTGGGCCAGTCACTGGTTGGCCTCTCCCTCAATTTCTGCTCCATCTTTACCCCTGTACATCTTGTAGGCAGGACAAATTTTAGGTTGAAGGTTTTGTGGCTGGGTTGGTGTCCCAATCCCTCCATTTGAAGCCTTGCCTGGTACAGGAGATAGCCTTTTCAGGTTCCATGTCCCCCACTCTTAGGAGTCACCCTAATATATTCCTGGGAGTTTCCTGTCCTAAGTTTCTAGCTCTTCCCAGAGATGCCCCTCATTGATTCCAGTTCTCTCTCCCAGTTCTCTCTCCTTCCGTCTTCCCCCCACCAGATCCCTCCTGCTGCCCTCACTGCAACCTCTGGACTCCATTTTCCAGCCCACAGCTCCACTTACTACTTTTTTAATAGGGGTTGTTACCTCCTTCCACGCCTACAGCTCAGCAAGCTCCATGTGGTCTTTTCCTGTTCAAAGCTGGCCTAGAACCTAACTGTGCAGTGCAGACCTATTAGACCCAAGTGTGCACACTGTGTGATCTTTCCAGAAACTGAGAAAATTGATGGAAAGATTTAACTAAGCTTCGGGAAATGATGTGAATTATTTTACAACACTTTCCTGATCTCCAAAAAGTACTTTGCTCCTGTTTTATGTATTGTGTAGTCACAGGAAATTACACACTGGGGAGGTGAGTGCCCAGACTGTAATTGCCTATAAATGCCAAATGCCTCAGAACGAATGCTTGAGTACCACACCAACTAGCTGTCAGGCCACAGGAAACAGTGACTGGTGACTCATGATTCCCATATGAATCCTCAGGATTAACCAAGGTCCGACTTCCTGGTTTAGAATCCCTTCCCCAGTTCTAGCGCAGAATCCACTGGACTCAGAGGAAGGCAAGTGAGCCTCTAGTTTAACTGGCGCCCAAGCACAGATCTCCTCCCCGGTTGCCATGTCAGGGCATAAACTCTAACCTTCTAAACGTACTTGGCTCCAAAACAAAGCTTTTCACTTTTCACATTTAAAAAATGTTTTCAGGAGGTGAGTTCCTGAGGTGATCTTTTTGCCACACATAGACTCCAACTCTCATTGCCCCTATTAAACTCTAATTGCCCCTATTAAAAAGCAAAGGAAGAAACTTTCATGTAGCATATGCATATATTTTTTGAAGATTCATAAAAAAGAAATCACATAAAATCCCAAGTTTCAAAGGTTATGGGTAAGAAAAATAAGGATTTTATATAAATATAATACATTTTATATATAGAATTACAAAGACTGTCATAATAACCATTAACAACTCTCAAACTATTATCACTTTTCCTAAAAAGCGTAATAAATTAACATATTTTGAGATTATTCTTTTAAGAAGCACCATGCCTCTAGTGAAGGATTTTACCAAACATCAGGTTAGTTTTCTTACTGATGGAAGACTGATTCTCTATGCACAAGCAGCGA